AAAAAATCAAATTTTATACAATATATATTTCAGATAAAATAAAATTTCGCAACATTAATAATATCTTCTGATTTTAATATTTATATATATTCATTATTGATCATTCATTAATTTAATATTAACAAATACATACACACAAATTATATACAAAAGCATTTTCTTTGAAAAGAAATGGATTTGGAATTGTAATATCATATAGCATTATTTTTGTTGATAGGAACTCACGACACTTTTGAGTTTGTATATATATGAGATGTGTTATATAGACTTGTAAGGATTCTTTAATTGACTTATCTCTCAAACAGCATATATCTTTCTCTATTCAACATTCCACAATATAAAATCTTATTTGGAATACATATCTCAAAAATTTACAATAAAACTATTTTCTAAAAATAATATTTTGTACAAATAATTATTAAATTATATATTCTTAAATTATGTTATTATAGTTTTAGATAATTTTTCCTTTTTCTGCTTAAGATTTCTGTGCATGTGTGTGAATGTTATAATATTATAATGAATAAGAAAATAAAGAAACATCACAAATTAGAATTTTAAATATAATAAAATTTTCAAAAAATAATATAATAATTGTAATAATATATATACTTATGTTTGATTCAGGTGCACAAGCATTTTCTCGTAAACATCCTTTGTCATGTTGGCTCTCTACAATGTTAGTTTGTTTTGCAAGCGGTATGCTATGCAATGGATTATTAGGGGAACCCATTCTTGCACCTCTGAAAAATACGCCACAAGTGATAGTTGCAACCGTTGTTTGGTTGGTAATGACTGACAGAATGCCTTTTTTTTGTATAGTATTTTGTATTAATAGTAATATGTAATAAATAGTAAAATCTATTATTTACAGTTATATATATATATATGTCAATTTTGCAAAAATTAATCAAAGTAAATTATATAAATTTTTCAGGTATGTGGTATTTTACACACCATTCGACATTGGTTATAAGGTAGCCAAATTTTTACCAGTAAAGTTAGTATGTGCTGCTATGAAGGAAATTTATAGGTAAGTAAAGATATCAATATTTCGTATACTTTTGGGACATTAAACTTGCGGGACATTTTCCTTTTTCTTTTGCTTCTATGCTTTATATGCTTATAGAAACTGTGTCTTTGTGTATATAAAAGAAAATATAAAATTAAATAAAAATAATTTTAGTTTAACATATTATAAATAAATTATCTACACATACACAAATATTTTGTTATTACAGGTGTAAAAAGGTATATGATGGAGTGACTCATGCAGGAAAACTTTATCCAAACGCATATCTTATTATGATATTGATTGGAACACTCAAAGGTTGGTTGCAAAACATTGGATATATGTCAAAGTGTATATCACATATTATTTCAATGAAATTATATATAGATGCACATTCTACAAAATCTAATAAAATTGTGTAAAGATTAACACAGCATGTAATTATAATATGTAAATATAGGTAATGCAGCTGGATTTACAAAATTGTTTGAGCGTCTTATACGTGGTGTATGGACACCGACCGCAATGGAATTCATGCAACCTAGTTTGTATGTAAAATTCATAATTTGTATAGACAAATATGAAAATTATACACTTATTATATATATTCCTCTATTTTTAACCGGCAAACAAATGTAATAATATCAAATAATATATTTTATTTTACAGTCCCACCAAAGCATCTATGGTTGCATCGATTATCTTTGTGTTAGATAAGAAGACTGATCTCATTTCTGCACCTCATGCTCTTGTGTACTTTGGTATTGTTATCTTTTTCGTCTATTTCAAGGTAAATGTCTATATCGCGAATCTCTTCTAAATGTATGTATTCAACATTGTTAAAACAAGATAAAATTAACAATAATATTATTTTCTAGTTATCTTCAATTTTGCTCGGTATTCATGATCCATTTGTGCCATTTGAAAATTTGTTCTGCGCCTTGTTCTTGGGAGGAATTTGGGATTCATTGGCTAAATTGTTGGGTCGTGGTCAAGCCAAAGATGAGAAAGCGGACGCAAAGAAAACAAATTAAATAATGGTATGTAAAAGAGAAACACAATATTATATATTTTTTAATATTATAAAACTCGTACGTCACAAAATATAAATCAAATCTTATTCGTATTTTTTCAGAAAACGTATCATTATCTTGTATCACCATCCATTACTTAAAAAGTGATGAAATAAAACTATTTTAAGCTAGTCAGATAACACACGGGTTACATATGACTCTTGACAAATCATCAAATGAAAGAGTACAATAATTTAATATATACATATACATATATATACTTTAAGAGTGGAAATTATTCAGTTTTCAAAGAGTGTTATAAAAATATCAACAGTATTATATATTCAAAGTTTAATTGATGTTAAACTCTATAAATATCTCATATTCTATTCTTTGTTTCTTTATTATGTGTTTTCATGTTAATGAAGAAATTTCGTTTTTACATAAAAACTTTTATTAATAATTATAAATATGAGATTATTTATATATTATTTATCTTCAATCTGGGTTTAGATTGATATTATTAAAAACCTAAGATACACACAAATTTAATCAGCAAACACCAGAAATGTGTTCCTATCTGAAAATTTTGATAGTACCTCTTATGTAACATTAACAGTTGATTTGTTAAAATTTATCAAATTATTTTATAGTACAATATGCAACTTTTAATATATTGTATAAATATATGTTAGGATATACTCCAGCAATTTAAAGTATGCATCTTAATGAATTATACTGAAATTTTGTTTTATTTAGTCGTTATATAATATTTATACAGAAGAGAAATGTATTTAGAGCAAATAATTAATTTCAATGTTAAATGATTGTACCATTGATTTGTAAATCATATGAATCACATAAGGCATTCAAACTTCAATAGCACATGTGTAAAAACGGAGTGTGAGAAAAAATAGGTCTTTTATACAATTTTATTAAATTCAAATATTGATACTATATATCATATATAAGCGCGTTTGCTTTAATTCTCAACAACAGATATATGTACCTCCGCAATTAGGAATACCCAATATTCTAATTATGAAACGATTATACATTTTCATGTAATAAAATAGAATTTAAATTAAAAATCGTTATTTATTTTATTATTTTGACATACAGCTCTAATTATTTACTTATTATCCAACTTCAAAACTTATTTAATAAAAAAGATATCACAAAATAAACATATAACAGAGAAAGTCATATATTATCTAGTCTTTCATTTTATTAACATTTTACCAGCAAATTTATTAATTGTCTGTGTACACGATATATACCACTTATATACAAAAACCTAATTTTTTAAATAATATAATTTCGACTAGAAATATTACTTGCGATTATACCAATATCTCAATATTATTGAGATTTAATCTCTACCCAGTAAACACACACAAAGTAACAGTAACATAACATTAATGTTATAATTTCCCTCAACAATGTAACTGTTACGTACAAGGCATGTTATATTGCAGTTACATTGTTGAGTGGGAAATTATAACATTAATGTTATATTACTGTTATTTTGTGTTTACTGGGTACTATTTGTAGCAAAATCCATAGCCCTTATTTCTTTTGATCTTTGTTAATAATAAACATTCCTTTAATGTTAAGCCACAACTACAAGTTTCATTTTTACACATTACTTTACAATCGCTACAATTACAGCAGCAAACTGAGCTGCCACTCTGATCCATTAATTTAGATTCTAAAGTTTTTAATCGCGCTTTTGTTATCGAATTTTGTATTTCTTTCTCCAATTCCACAGCAGTTTCTATAAAAAATAAATTATGCTAATTCAATAATGACAATTACTTAACTTCATATGATCAACTTTACTTATGTCAATAGTTCGCAATTGGAAGGCTATGCTTTTCCCAAATAAATCAAAGCTATCTTCAGTTTTTCTTCTACTATACACTTCTACAGAAATATCATCCATGTATGTGGAACGATCCTATTACAAAAGATTTTATATTTTTCCCATCTTTCCTCTTGAGAAATTGACAATTTAGATAACTTGCTGTTATTCAGCATGTAAACCTTTTTTCCTTTGTCGACGCCTGCAATGTATTTTTGCTCCTACATAATATTAATTATTAAAAATATCTGTATGTGTACTATTATTATATATTTTATTCATATTTATTTCTAACATTAAACATATCCGTTTGCATTTCGTTCTCTGTCATAACATTGTTATTAATCTCTGTTGCTACATCAATTGTTTGAATTGCTTCAGAAGGAACAAGAACATCTTGTGATTTCGAAGCAGAATGAATTGTATCTCTGTGCTTGAAAAATATTATTGTAATTTTGTCGTGATGCCTTAATGTTACACAAAATAAGTACATAAATAGCAAATGACCTCAATTTTAAACATAATTCAATCTCTTGAAGTTCACACGTTCCACAGATATCACTTGAGCAAACTGCTTTATCTTCTGATTTCTCAAGAGATGAATGCAAAAGACTGTCTTGAGTACTGATATCATTAAATTTTTGCTTATTGCTGTCTTGCTGCAAATACAAATTTGCACATTTTTGTACCATAAACATAATATAAAAATGATATATATCATTAAATATAAATGGAAATCACAATATTGATTTTATAAGAGATTGTTATTTATGATTTTATAATCACTATTACAATATTATATAAATATAGCAATCAAGGCTGTAACAATTCCTTAAATAATTGTTTGTTTTGTATTACATCATATACCTTTTTAAAATCATTATAAAAAGATGTCGGCATATATGGAAAAAAGAGTACATGCATTCTTTTAAACCATTCTGCTTTTGGTGCATACAATTTTTCACAAAATATAGCTGCGGTGATTTTTGATAGTTCATAACAGTATTCTTTTTTTACATTTGTAATTCTCTCAATGCAATCACATATCGTTAATCCAGGGATATTAATGGAATTTTTTATTTTCTTGTATGCTTTATAACGTGACAATGTGCTATTGAATTCAGGGTGAAATGGATTCCACAAACACTGATATTGCCCATAGAGTGCTATTAATTTTTCAGTATCTTCCCCAGTCCATACATTTGGCATTATTAAGGAATATAATTTATGTTAAATCAAATAGGTTAATTAACCTTTCCAACCACAATACTATTTATGTCAAAATATATATTCAAATACTGGTCATTTTGCTCTTAGATTAATTATTAAGCTGATATTTCTTGGAAGATGTGTACCAATGCAGAATATGTTACAAATGTTATAGCAAGCTTATTCATTGTATTGTTTGATTACAAATACACAAAAATTTAGAAGACATGGAAAAAAAATGAATGACACATAATGATTAAAAATAAATGAAAGTCTTCTGAGAGGAGATCGTATTAAGTTTCATTAACTTATTCCAGATATGTATGTCCTTATACATATTTTCTTCTCACATATATCACATACTATAGAAGTATATAAATATAAATTGTCCGTAAATATCTATCTGTAAATTCTTCTACAATTTTTTATAACAATATCCTTTGCAAGTATGCAATTCTTAATTTGTTATAATGTCTAGTCGTTGTACATTTATTTTGATTTTATTGTTACAATTTTTGTTTTCTTTACTGGCAATTACAATTTTTTAATCCTAGTTTCATAAATATTGGTCGTTTTATTAAGTTGAGGCGGCTTAAATAGGAAAATATTTCGCTCCTATCTTTTAAATTTAATAGCATCATTAAAAAAATGACAAGCATTAGAATTGTTATATTACTAATGTACATTTAAACCTAAAGCTACTATAATCAGTACTACATAATTTTACTGTATCATATGGCAAGTTCATCATAATTTATATATGATATATTCAATCATATATATATATTTTATGATAAATTAATTTTATTGCGTGCAATTTCTCTTCCTGGACTAAGAGATGATATTTGATAAAATAACTAAAAAAATTTATACACAAACATATTGTTGTGTAAAAATAAGCATTATTGATAAATCGATATTCAATTAATAATCAGATTAAACAACAAATGTGTTTTGTTTTCTCTTTCAACAAAAATATACATACTATCCTCTGGATAGACAAAACTCGAATAACTAACGAAATGTTATATATAAATTATGTACATTGTGGTTTTTGTATAGAACAATTATGTGTGTGTGTGTATATATATGTATGTGTATCTTATTCACGATATTATTTATTCTGTGTTAATCTCTATCATATCTTACTGTATTTAAATCCATATGACTCTTGCTAAATGTATTTTTAAGAAGTCGTTTCAATTGTTGAAGACAATGTGGGTAGCTGCTGTGGAACAAAGTTCACAACTTCATGGTATACAAGTTCTGCAAGCAAGAATACCTGTTATTCAAGATGTAAAAACATTTTAGATTAAAATAGAAGAGTAACAAAGATCTGTTACCTTTCCATTTTTCGACTGGTAAGTCCATATCCTCAAAACTTTGATCATATGGTAGAGAAACAGGTTCATCAGTTGGATCTGCATATTGTGCAAGATATGGATGTGCTAAAGCTTGTTCAGCAGTGATCCTTTTTTCTGCATCCAATTCCAACATCAATTCCAACAAATCAATAGCTAAACAGAAATACAATACAATTTCATTTATTCATTCAATATATATTTCCAACAATACAAGCGTTTTTCATTTACCTAAAGGATTAGCTCCACGAAATACATCTTTAAAGTTTTTTTTCTTCAGTGGCGGTAAACTCTGAATATAATTTCTGGCCTATAACAATAATTAAAAATTACAATAAAAAGATCATAGCATTTGTGCAATTTAGATTCTGTATAATTTGTACTCTCTATGTAATATAAGTAGTGTATATTCCACTGTATGTTCTATATATTTTTATGTTTGTATAAACTCCTAAAAGTTTTATAACTAAAAAATTTTATAATGTAATAAATTTTTTAATTTTCCATTTTACTATCAAATACAAACTAGATATCAAATCAAAATATATTTTAAAAAACTACCTTTATGGAGAAATAAAAATATACTTTTTAGAAAGCTATACATTTTAAGATAAAATCTAATATATACATTAAGTTATACATAATTTGTCATTATATATATCCATATAAATATAATTACAAATTATTAAAATGCAGAGGTTTGTTACTATAATTTTGTATAAGATATTGTAAATTTAATTTGAATCTATCACACGAATTTGCCAAGATATAATATTTATATTTATACTTATTTAACATGCTAATAAAATAAGAAGAGATATGATAAGAGAAAGAATGCAACTCGCATACTAGAATATATATAAAACGTGCATAATTTCATGCTATATAATGATGAAGTAACCAGCATGGAATAATTAAAACAACTTACCGATTCTGACGATATTTTTTTCATAAACTCGTCTCGTGGAGTACCCAAAATTTCCATAATTAAGTTCAATTGATGAATATCTGCTCTTGCTAAGGCTCCACTATATATTTCTCTTCAAAGGTAATAAATATCCCGTTTATCAAATATTTTTTTTCTATTACATCTAAAAGCAATATGCTACAAACACATTTTAATGTGTTATTAAAATTTTTATATACGAAATCTTTAATACATTTTATTCATTTTAAATCTGCAGACAGCTTACAAATGACAATTTTACAGATGCAAAATGTAAGCAAATGGCTTTCTAACAAGCATATTAAGCAGAGTATGCCATGTATTAGCTTTAACAATTTAATGCAATGGGATATTAGCTATTATAGACCCTTAGCAAAAAGCATATTTATTAAAGAACACTGCAGGCAAAACAGAGGGAAATATTTACCAAAGCTAATTAACATAATTTTGTGTTAAAAACATAAAATATATGTACATCTATTGTATGATTTATGAGAAAAATATATCAACATGAAAAAATGAGTAACACAGCAAAACTTGTCAAGAAGGACTCAAAGGATACGATCTGTTCCAGGAAATAGTGTTCTTCCAGTTAACAGCTCGGCCATAATGCATCCTACTGACCAAATGTCAACTAAAAAAATATATATATATAAATAGTATTATAGTAGCATACAATTTTGTATCTTTCTTGTAAAATAAGGTAGAGAAAGAGAGAAAGAGAGAGGAGGAGAGAGAGAGAGAGAGAGAGAGAGACAGAGAGAGACAGAGGAGACATGTAAACCTTTTTTCCTTTGTCGACGCCTGCAATGTATTTTTGCTCCTACATAATATTAATTATTAAAAATATCTGTATGTGTACTATTATTATATATTTTATTCATATTTATTTCTAACATTAAACATATCCGTTTGCATTTCGTTCTCTGTCATAACATTGTTATTAATCTCTGTTGCTACATCAATTGTTTGAATTGCTTCAGAAGGAACAAGAACATCTTGTGATTTCGAAGCAGAATGAATTGTATCTCTGTGCTTGAAAAATATTATTGTAATTTTGTCGTGATGCCTTAATGTTACACAAAATAAGTACATAAATAGCAAATGACCTCAATTTTAAACATAATTCAATCTCTTGAAGTTCACACGTTCCACAGATATCACTTGAGCAAACTGCTTTATCTTCTGATTTCTCAAGAGATGAATGCAAAAGACTGTCTTGAGTACTGATATCATTAAATTTTTGCTTATTGCTGTCTTGCTGCAAATACAAATTTGCACATTTTTGTACCATAAACATAATATAAAAATGATATATATCATTAAATATAAATGGAAATCACAATATTGATTTTATAAGAGATTGTTATTTATGATTTTATAATCACTATTACAATATTATATAAATATAGCAATCAAGGCTGTAACAATTCCTTAAATAATTGTTTGTTTTGTATTACATCATATACCTTTTTAAAATCATTATAAAAAGATGTCGGCATATATGGAAAAAAGAGTACATGCATTCTTTTAAACCATTCTGCTTTTGGTGCATACAATTTTTCACAAAATATAGCTGCGGTGATTTTTGATAGTTCATAACAGTATTCTTTTTTTACATTTGTAATTCTCTCAATGCAATCACATATCGTTAATCCAGGGATATTAATGGAATTTTTTATTTTCTTGTATGCTTTATAACGTGACAATGTGCTATTGAATTCAGGGTGAAATGGATTCCACAAACACTGATATTGCCCATAGAGTGCTATTAATTTTTCAGTATCTTCCCCAGTCCATACATTTGGCATTATTAAGGAATATAATTTATGTTAAATCAAATAGGTTAATTAACCTTTCCAACCACAATACTATTTATGTCAAAATATATATTCAAATACTGGTCATTTTGCTCTTAGATTAATTATTAAGCTGATATTTCTTGGAAGATGTGTACCAATGCAGAATATGTTACAAATGTTATAGCAAGCTTATTCATTGTATTGTTTGATTACAAATACACAAAAATTTAGAAGACATGGAAAAAAAATGAATGACACATAATGATTAAAAATAAATGAAAGTCTTCTGAGAGGAGATCGTATTAAGTTTCATTAACTTATTCCAGATATGTATGTCCTTATACATATTTTCTTCTCACATATATCACATACTATAGAAGTATATAAATATAAATTGTCCGTAAATATCTATCTGTAAATTCTTCTACAATTTTTTATAACAATATCCTTTGCAAGTATGCAATTCTTAATTTGTTATAATGTCTAGTCGTTGTACATTTATTTTGATTTTATTGTTACAATTTTTGTTTTCTTTACTGGCAATTACAATTTTTTAATCCTAGTTTCATAAATATTGGTCGTTTTATTAAGTTGAGGCGGCTTAAATAGGAAAATATTTCGCTCCTATCTTTTAAATTTAATAGCATCATTAAAAAAATGACAAGCATTAGAATTGTTATATTACTAATGTACATTTAAACCTAAAGCTACTATAATCAGTACTACATAATTTTACTGTATCATATGGCAAGTTCATCATAATTTATATATGATATATTCAATCATATATATATATTTTATGATAAATTAATTTTATTGCGTGCAATTTCTCTTCCTGGACTAAGAGATGATATTTGATAAAATAACTAAAAAAATTTATACACAAACATATTGTTGTGTAAAAATAAGCATTATTGATAAATCGATATTCAATTAATAATCAGATTAAACAACAAATGTGTTTTGTTTTCTCTTTCAACAAAAATATACATACTATCCTCTGGATAGACAAAACTCGAATAACTAACGAAATGTTATATATAAATTATGTACATTGTGGTTTTTGTATAGAACAATTATGTGTGTGTGTGTATATATATGTATGTGTATCTTATTCACGATATTATTTATTCTGTGTTAATCTCTATCATATCTTACTGTATTTAAATCCATATGACTCTTGCTAAATGTATTTTTAAGAAGTCGTTTCAATTGTTGAAGACAATGTGGGTAGCTGCTGTGGAACAAAGTTCACAACTTCATGGTATACAAGTTCTGCAAGCAAGAATACCTGTTATTCAAGATGTAAAAACATTTTAGATTAAAATAGAAGAGTAACAAAGATCTGTTACCTTTCCATTTTTCGACTGGTAAGTCCATATCCTCAAAACTTTGATCATATGGTAGAGAAACAGGTTCATCAGTTGGATCTGCATATTGTGCAAGATATGGATGTGCTAAAGCTTGTTCAGCAGTGATCCTTTTTTCTGCATCCAATTCCAACATCAATTCCAACAAATCAATAGCTAAACAGAAATACAATACAATTTCATTTATTCATTCAATATATATTTCCAACAATACAAGCGTTTTTCATTTACCTAAAGGATTAGCTCCACGAAATACATCTTTAAAGTTTTTTTTCTTCAGTGGCGGTAAACTCTGAATATAATTTCTGGCCTATAACAATAATTAAAAATTACAATAAAAAGATCATAGCATTTGTGCAATTTAGATTCTGTATAATTTGTACTCTCTATGTAATATAAGTAGTGTATATTCCACTGTATGTTCTATATATTTTTATGTTTGTATAAACTCCTAAAAGTTTTATAACTAAAAAATTTTATAATGTAATAAATTTTTTAATTTTCCATTTTACTATCAAATACAAACTAGATATCAAATCAAAATATATTTTAAAAAACTACCTTTATGGAGAAATAAAAATATACTTTTTAGAAAGCTATACATTTTAAGATAAAATCTAATATATACATTAAGTTACATAAAAAAAGACAAATTTACCTCTTGACTAGTAATTTTGCTTAATGTTTCCTCTGTGGGTGTGCCACAGAGTACTAACACTCGTGTTAGGTGATCAATGTCTGCTTATGGTTAAGGTATGTTTAAAAAGCAATATTAAAATTAGATGACAATTAAAACGATAATTTTAGTAATGCTAAATATACATCAAACCATTTCATAAATTAATCAAACATATTTTCATTAGTTGTAAGTTATTGTGCGCATCTAGAATAAGCTACATGTTTGTTATAAAGCAGTGTGAATTATTATTCAAAAATCGAATATATGCAAAAGAAATAACTATAATAATATGTACTCCTTAAATTTTTCTATGTTATGAATATAATAATATAATTATAAATATATAATTATATAAACATATATATGTTATCCTTAATTAATTTGTCATTCTATCACACGAATTTGCCAAGATATAATATTTATATTTATACACTTATTTAACATGCTAATAAAATAAGAAGAGATATGATAAGAGAAAGAATGCAACTCGCATACTAGAATATATATAAAACGTGCATAATTTCATGCTATATAATGATGAAGTAACCAGCATGGAATAATTAAAACAACTTACCGATTCTGACGATATTTTTTTCATAAACTCGTCTCGTGGAGTACCCAAAATTTCCATAATTAAGTTCAATTGATGAATATCTGCTCTTGCTAAGGCTCCACTATATATTTCTCTTCAAAGGTAATAAATATCCCGTTTATCAAATATTTTTTTTCTATTACATCTAAAAGCAATATGCTACAAACACATTTTAATGTGTTATTAAAATTTTTATATACGAAATCTTTAATACATTTTATTCATTTTAAATCTGCAGACAGCTTACAAATGACAATTTTACAGATGCAAAATGTAAGCAAATGGCTTTCTAACAAGCATATTAAGCAGAGTATGCCATGTATTAGCTTTAACAATTTAATGCAATGGGATATTAGCTATTATAGACCCTTAGCAAAAAGCATATTTATTAAAGAACACTGCAGGCAAAACAGAGGGAAATATTTACCAAAGCTAATTAACATAATTTTGTGTTAAAAACATAAAATATATGTACATCTATTGTATGATTTATGAGAAAAATATATCAACATGAAAAAATGAGTAACACAGCAAAACTTGTCAAGAAGGACTCAAAGGATACGATCTGTTCCAGGAAATAGTGTTCTTCCAGTTAACAGCTCGGCCATAATGCATCCTACTGACCAAATGTCAACTAAAAAAATATATATATATAAATAGTATTATAGTAGCATACAATTTTGTATCTTTCTTGTAAAATAAGGTAGAGAAAGAGAGAGGAGAGAGGAGAGAGAGAGAGAGAGAGAGAGAGACAGAGGAGAGAAGAGTGTCCTCCTGCACTAACTTTTATTGATATAATTCTGACCTGTTTGATTATAATGCATCCAATTAAGCATAATTTCGGGTGCTCTATACCACCTAGTAGCAACATAACCAGTCATCTCATTTTCTGTAGGCCTGGCCAAGCCAAAGTCCAATATTTTTAATTCGCAATCCTCATTGACCGCTATGTTAGATGGTTTCAAATCCTATCAATTAGATTTATACGAAACTGAGTTTTCGTTTTTATATTTTCTATATAAATGCATGTAACACATTATCATACCCTATGTATAATTCCAGCAGAGTGGATATACTTTAAGCCACGAAGTATTTGATAGACAAGAAATTGCACAAAAATAAGGTAGAGAAAGAGAGAAAGAGAGAGGAGGAGAGAGAGAGAGAGAGAGAGAGAGACAGAGAGAGACAGAGGAGAGAAGAATGTCCTCCTGCACTAACTTTTATTGATATAATTCTGACCTGTTTGATTATAATGCATCCAATTAAGCATAATTTCGGGTGCTCTATACCACCTAGTAGCAACATAACCAGTCATCTCATTTTCTGTAGGCCTGGCCAAGCCAAAGTCCAATATTTTTAATTCGCAATCCTCATTGACCGCTATGTTAGATGGTTTCAAATCCTATCAATTAGATTTATACGAAACTGAGTTTTCGTTTTTATATTTTCTATATAAATGCATGTAACACATTATCATACCCTATGTATAATTCCAGCAGAGTGGATATACTTTAAGCCACGAAGTATTTGATAGACAAGAAATTGCACATGGTCATCAGAAAGTTTTTGTGTTCTGACAATATTGTTGAGGTCAGCGCCCATCAGATGTGTGACTAGATACCTGTGTAAACATATATAAATAATAAAATTAGTATATGATAAAATAAAATTGATCTCTCATATACCAAACAATACCCACACATGTTGAAAATCTTCCAAAGATACAGACGGATGAAATACATCTAACAATCCTATCACCTACAATCAATGTACATATTTAAGACTGATTAGAAATGTAAGGAAATTCTCTACAATTGTGTTTACCTACATTTTCATGATTCATGTGTTTTAGCATACGTAGCTCCCTGTATGTGCGTTTTGCATGTACAGCTGACTGAAATGGCCTGGCTAACTTTTTGATTGCCACTTTTTGCCCGGTAGTTGTGTCGACAGCCGAACTGAAATGCACATACATATTTTTTTTATGAAAACAGTATGAATCTTGGTCACATTCTTCTATCATTATGATAAATATTACATCATTAAAAAAAATTTAATTACATCATAATTATAATTACATTAAAATTTTGCGGAATAATAATTCAACTCTAAACAAAACCAAACTTCAACATTTTAACGGAAAAAAAAAAAAAACAGGAAAACTCGGACAAATGCAACTTAATTTACAAAATAAAATTATGAATTTATTTGTCAATCGTTTCGTCATTTGACAAACAACATTACGCGCTGTTCCAAAATCATTCTATTTTCGCAAAAATGCAAGGAAACGCATGCGCGATCCCTCAAAATTTCGTATTTCCGACAATAATTATAGCCGGGCTCTTCTTGCACGACGGAGAATAATCATGCGACTACAATCCGGACAATCTCGTCATTTTACGCCAGAAATATTGTAAATGTCAAGGTTGCGATCGAGGTTCACGATAAATGTAACGGCAAATCTCTCGTCCCGACGATTGTCACAGCTGTCAACCGAATGTCATCATCAGCTGACAAGTCGAATGAGAAACGCGTCAGATTTTTATAAGAAAACAAAACCGTCCAAAGGACGTCAATTTAGGAGAGATTAGGAGCATTTTCTACAAGTTATCTTCCGAATGTTTTTCCTATTGAACATCTGCCAAAATCTGTCCGCACGCGACAACGTATTATATGCCAATTTTGTTATCATCACTCACCAGACTTGACCGTAAGCACCTGAACCTACGGGAGTAAGCAATTGGTATCGCTTCGGTACCTCCCATTCCGTCCTGTTGATCTCGATCTTATGAAACTGCGGCATGCTATACTTTTACGGTATCCCCTGTATTCTATCGTAGTAAGAAAATACGATGTGTAACCTCCACTTACGTTCACTTTAACGCGATTATCACACGTAACACTTCATTTCCAAATTAGCCGTACACCGTGTGTGACTGTGTGTATCACTATAAGTTTCTCACATATAGACATACTGATCGAAGCTAGATTACCAGATACATATGATTATGAGTTTCCTGTTTTCTCCTCCGCTGCCCCTCCGACCTAACCTACCTACATCCTATCGATTGCCTATCGCTATAATGAGAATCGATAGAGACAATCGAACAGTTACATTCGATTAGGAACGCACGATAAGCGAAGAAAATTTCTATATGAACGATGCTTTATATAATTATATAATTAGCTTACTTATAATTCTTGTTTATAATTATAGGAATATTGTAATATAAAAAAAACTAGGAATAACACAAGAATTAACATAAATAAAATATATCACCTCCTATTCCATTTCGCACATTATGAAGAGGAAAAGAGTGCAGAAGGTGTAGCTAGAATGAACAGATGTTGGCATATTTGACGTTGTGTCACGTTGTGCGCGAAACTTTAGCCTGATCTGTGAAATCGTATATCATTTTTTGCATTTCCCCTCGTGCATCGGCATTGACACACGTACGACGATTATAAAAATTACGTGTTACGTGTTAGCCGTTTGCATTGTCACCATCGCGAGAAACGAGCATGGCCGAGAACAAGCCGATGGAGGAATTCGAGCCCTCCATCAAAAATGTGATCGAGCAACGTTCCTTACGATGGATATTCGTGGGCGGCAAAGGCGGAGTTGGAAAAACAACTTGCAGGTACACACACATAACCTGGAAAAAAAAATCATATGTCAGTAAAACACTTCAGTGAGATATATAAATCAGTAAAAATACAATATAACGTGTATACACATTTTCATACATAATTATCTTGATGTCACATAAATATTTGCACTTCTACTTTCTGTTTAGATATAAAATTCTGCAATGAAATAATTGGATTTTAATAAAGAAAATATAACTTATGTCATAAATCTGCTCTCATTTATTTGTTTAAATTAAAAAAAAAAAAAATGATCTAAAAGAACTGATCTAATCTTCTTCTTGCAGTTGTTCTCTGGCAGTACAATTATCCAAGGTTAGAGAGAGTGTACTTATCATATCCACAGATCCAGCGCATAATATTTCTGATGCATTTGATCAGAAATTTAGTAAGGTACCCACAAAGGTTAAGGGTTTCGATAACTTATTTGCCATGGAGATCGATCCTAATGTTGGTATTACAGAATTACCAGAGGAATATTTTGACAGCGAAGGAGGTTTGTTTTCAAAATAGTATTCTGTTCAATATCTTTGAGTCTTTTAATAAGAAAAGTTCTCATAATAATTATTATATACAACATAATAAAATATAATATAATATAATATGGATTGTAACAATTATAAATGGCTGCTGCTATAATTGTTATACATATGATGTAAAAGAAACTAAATTTAATGTATAGATGTTTGGTTTTTTCTTAAATATACTTCTGCAAGACATTATTTTTAAAAATGTTTTGTTTCCATTATAGTTTCAGGAGGGGAAGCAATGAGATTAAGCAAAAATGTTATGCAAGAAATTGTTGGTGCGTTTCCTGGTATAGACGAGGCAATGAGCTATGCAGAAGTTATGAAGTAAATTTATACATTCGTAGTTATTACTTTTGTAAAATATTAAAAGAGCAATCTTTTTTTATGATTAACTAAAACTACAGGTGCATCTTTGAATTTTTTAATTCTTTATTAATTACCTTTCTATGTGTGGTTGTCTTTAGGCTTGTGAAGGGAATGAATTTTTCCGTTGTAGTATTTGATACTGCACCTACTGGACATACTCTAAGGCTACTATCATTTCCACAAGTGGTTGAAAAAGGATTGGGGAAATTAATGCGTTTGAAAATGAAGATTAGTCCTTTTATTACACAGGTTAGATACTTCATTCATGTTATACTTTGATTATTTGCAATTAATACGTATTAATAAGTATCAAGTTGTATTCTCCAAATAATATAAATAGAAAAAATTTTTGTATTCTAGATAAGTTCATTGTTGGGAATGGCAGAATTCAATGTAGATACATTTTCCAATAAGATGGAGGAAATGCTTGCTGTCATTCGACAAGTTAATGAACAGTTTAGAAATCCCGATCAGACGACTTTTATATGTGTCTGCATAGCAGAATTTCTATCGCTATACGAGACAGAACGACTTGTACAAGAATTAACAAAATATGGTATCGACACCCATAATATTATAGTGAACCAACTGTTATTCTTAAAAGAAGGAGATACCCCTTGTCGACTTTGCCTTGCAAGGCATAAAATTCAAGATAAATATCTAGATCAGGTAATTAATTTTGGATTTATATATAATATTGCAATTTATACTTTTTTAAATATTCCAATGCAGTATTTTATATTTATTTCATTCAAATGCAAAGCAAAGCAAATATATATATATATATATATATATAAGATAAAATTTCTATAAAATAAATTAAATTTCTTTTTCTTAAGATATTGGATCTTTACGAGGACTTCCATGTCACACGGCTTCCTTTACTGGAAAGGGAAGTGCGCGGAGCTCAACAGGTCAGGGAATTTTCGGAAAATCTTATTAAGCCATACAAGCCTTAGCATTTATGTAATTAATGATTAATAATACAATATACACTTTATAACTAATTCGAAGTTTTATACACTTGCAACTTCGCGCGTTGGAAATTTGTATAAAGAAAGCTGAATCTTTATTATACTGCTCGATGTTTGTTATTGCACATGTTAATAAATTCAGTGTTGCATTTGCGCGCACTATGTATTTGCAATATTTAATTTATATAAGTTAGCTTAGAGAGAATAGAATATTTATATATATATACACAGACGAAAAAAAAATGCGTATTTGAAACAAAATATATATCAATCATATAATTTTTCTTTTATATCATCAAAAATATATTTATTGAATCACTGCAAGTTCTTTTCCAATTTGTATAAAAGCATTTACAGCACAGTCTATATCTTCGATCGAATGAGCTGCGCTAATTTGAACACGTATTCTCGCTTTGTCTTTTGGTACTACAGGATAGCTGAATCCAATGACGTAAATTCCCTTTTCTGTAAGAACATTTTTGCTCAATGCAATAAAACAAGATGTAAAACTTTAAAAAGAATGCAGTAGATCTCTACTCTATACCATATATTTGGTTTCTTTAAGATTCTTTTCCCAGTTATTTATAAGAAAATACATACCCATCATTTTATCTGCAAATGTTGTTGCCAATTTTGCATCACCTAGCATAACAGGACAAATAGGATGATTATCACCGCTGATAATAAAACCAGCCTTGATCATTGCATTTCTAAAATGTTTAGTATTGCTTGCTAAACGGTCCAAAAATCTCGTGCTATTCATTATAAGATCCATTACCTGTTAGTAATGTTGAAAATGCCTACAGTTTAATATTATTTCTGTCTATTGTCTTCTTTTTTTTAACAGCATGCACTATTTATGAAATTATTAATCATCTACCTATAATAAAAATAAGATAATGCTTTACTTTACTTGCTGCTGCAATTACAGGTGGGGGCATTGAATTCGAGAATAAATAAGGTCTGCTTTTTTGTCTTAACAAACTGACAACCTCTTTTTTACTAGTCGTGTAACCACCTGCTGCTCCTCCGAGAGCTTTTCCTAATGTAGAATTGATGATATCAATACTTCCCAGATAGCCAAAGTAGTCTTCTGTTCCTCTGAATTGAAATAAAATTAAGTTAAGAATAAGTAATATTAACATTCAAATAAACAGATAATTCTGCATAAGTTTTTTAGAATATACCTGCCAGTTTTGCCAAAGAATCCAGTAGCATGACAATCATCCACGAATGTAAAAGCATCGTACTTTTTAGCAAGTTCGATTATTTTTGGCAATGGTGCGATAGTACCGTCCATGGAGAATACTCCATCGGTTGCTATAAGGCGTAAACGTGCCGATTTGCTTTCTTGAAGCTTACTTTCCAAATCCATCATATCTCTGTGCTTGTATCTTGACATTACAAATAAAAAAAAAAAAAATTTATATGCGGAAGTGCAACAAGTTAGAAAATTTATTTACAAAAAAATTATAACGCTGAACTGATCACCTGTATTTCTTTGCTTTGCACAATCGTATTCCGTCAATAATAGACGCATGATTTAATTCGTCACTTAACACAGCATCGTCAGCAGTTAACAGAGTTTCAAAAATACCGGCATTCGCGTCGAAGCAGGATGCATAAAGTATCGTGTCTTCCTTGCCATGGAACGTGGCAATCTTCTTTTCTAATTCGACATGTATTTCCTGCGTTCCACATATAAATCTCACAGAACTCAAACCGGCGCCGTATTTATCCAAGGCAGTTTTCGCCGCATTAATAACATCCTTGTTATCCTGTTAAGTTCAAATTTTAAAGAGATCTCGTCTCTCACACTATAGCTTTATTTTAATAAAAATAAAAATAAATATCTTATGTTTATTTTAATGTTTACAAAACGTAAAACCGTATTTGCTTTAACGTTGACCTTGATTCATCGTTTTAAAATTTTGTCTTACCGCTAGACCTAGATAATTGTTCGCGCAAAAATTAAGTGCCTTCTTCCCATTTGATAGAGTGATCCTTGTTCCTTGAGGCGAAGCAATTATGCGCTCATTTTTCCACGTACCGGCTTGTACTATCGCTGCCAATTCGGGTTCTATGTAAGTAGCCAAAGAATTTACTGTCCGGTTATTATTCCATTTGATATCTTGAAATTTGGAAACTATACGAAAAAAAAAACTTTGTTATACAATCACTTTAGACAACGTTACTTTATAAATGATGATATTAATCGCAAAACAATCTTACTTCTGAGATTTCTATACATATTTACAAAATTATTTACTGCTTTTGACCTCATACGATGTCGAGAAATCACTGATTTTAAATGATCATAGCGCAGTTGAGTTGCTCTCGAGTTGAAGTAGTCAAACCGGTTTTACATTAAGAAATATAGTAGTACCTCCTTGAAAAGCAGTTATTACGCGATCTGTTTATAAACATCGAATAAACTCGTTTATTAATATTATACCAAACATATTTATAATGCAAATTTAATTCAACCATTTGTTTTACTTTTCTTTAAATATTTATAACTATATTATATTGTTGACATTAATGAAATTAGTATTTTAATTTATTCTCTATATATTTCACACTTCTGGATTGCATCATAAATTTCTATATTTCTATTTCTATTTAAATTTTTACTTGCTTATTACAAGATATGCTTATGTATTAAGTACTCTATTTTTTTTTATTTCTTATTACTATCATATATCCTAATTTTCATAGTCGAATTCAACAGATTATGAACAATAGTTGTCAAACCACATTTGTTTTGTTTATTAAATAATATTGAAATAATGATTTAATTATTGCAATTAATTCATATAAACTATTATATTTGTATTACATGAAAGATTTAAAGTAGGAATTAAGGTAAAGTTTTATTTTGTACAATGTGCAATTCAACCAAAAAGAAAGCTTTATACTAAGTTTCAAGATAAAAAAATTTTTATATTTTCTCTTGAGGGAGATGCTATTATACCAACAATTAAAACCTATTAAAAATTAGTTGGAAGCAATAAATCGAATCGAACTTTCTTCTTGATTGTATCTATTATAAGTATACATTCTACAATATATATTGTATATTATTCTATTGTCTCTCTCCAGTGTATGTATGTGTATGTATGTGTGAAGTGGTGTTCTTTCTGTAAACATATTTTTCGATGTAAATAAAAAAAAAATATAAAGATATATTAAACATGAGATCAGAGAATTTTATTCAATTACTAAAAAGAATTTAACTCATTTCTAGTTTATGTTGTAAGATGTAAAAGTCAATGAGCATTCCTAAATCTTTGATAAGTATAAACTTAAAATATCTAGATACATTATATTAAATTTTACACCTATTTATATACTTGCACATAATATAAATTCCTTAATCTGTATATCGTTACTTGCATTCCAATATCTCACTATTTGGTCGATCATATATAACTGATCTTAATTATCATATTTTCTCATATGTTCAACCAGAGTTCAACTAGAGAAGAACACCTATTTATAAGAAAATTTTCGTTTTCTTTAATGTTCTAAATATCGTTATTGTTGGAAGAGGTTAAGAAAGGATGACAACATATAGTTGAGCATTATATAATACTTAATTTCTGTGTAACTATTTTATAATTAAAAATTTGTCAAACTAATATACAACACACAAATAAACTTGTATATTTGGATTTGTCATAAATTATTCGCCTTGAACAGATATATAAATATATCAACATACAATCATTTTAAAGAACTTATATATAGTACTTTGGAGGAAATATATATATCTATAAGAACTCCAAAATCAACTTTTTTACAATATAGCGACTGTTTAACATTAGTAATAAATTGATGTTAAAAAAATCACTTTTGTTTGTAAATGTAAAATAAGATTTAAGATGTTTTACTCTTTGCAGAAAGTTTTGTTGCCAGGGAATAAACATGTGAGAAATTATGCACAATCATGTACAATATTCCCAAGTACAAAACTATGCCGATTGTAAGAAAGAGATCAAACACAGCTGGCTTTACACTGTAATAGAATAAAAATAATTATACAATTGTAACCAATATTATATACTCTGTGTATTACATATGTGTATATATATATATATATATATATATATATATATATATATGATGCATATATATACATATATATATTTATATGCAACGTCGCGCCGTCGCGC